GGGTCGGGAGTCGAACCGGTAACCGGTGACACCCTAACCGCTCACCCACGACTGCCCTGCTCTTCAACATGTGACTTCATGTTGAAGAGCTGATCAAAATGAAAGCGATGAGAGCATTTTTACTCCTGGAATAATCTATTCCTCTTGTCCCACAGAACAGGACTCACATTTTCTAAACTAAAATTTCTGGGGGCGGGCTTTCCTTCGGAGTAAAGGGCATTTTTATTGGTCTGCTGTTTTTCTTTTTTTTTTGTTTTCTGGTCAAGAGCAAGGGTTTGGTTTGGGATCGATCTGTAAAAAATGTAATCCGTAAAATGCAATTTGTAAAACCTAATCTAAAAAAAATGGAAATAAAAACGTGGGAATATAAAATCTTAAAAGAGAAAATGAAAATGTAACATTTGGAAATATAAAATAATAATAAATAATATTTAGAAATATAATTGAAAATGTTTTAATCTGTAAAAATAAATAACAAAATTGTAATTCTGGGAAAATACATTAAAAGCTCAGATAAAACAGTAGTTTTTTTTATTTCTAGACTGCTTTGTTTTTTTGTAGCATTCATGCTAATTTTTTTCCTTCTAATTTTGTTCTAATAATGGAACAAAATCCACTCCATAAACAGCTTTACTGTGAGCTTTACCGCACCAATCTACTGCCCACTAATCTTATTATTTTACTACCGTATGTAGAAATAAGTAGGTGAGGGAAACATGAGATTTCCCTAGAAAATAAATTTCAAACAACACAGGAGCCAACCTCGTACTGTATCTCTGCACCAAATGGGCAGCTCACACAGGAAGTAGAGAGCCTCAGTAATCCACAGTTAGCAGGAATCAAATTCTGTGAGGTTGCCTAAAAACTTCACTAAAAAATAAATTGAATAAGTAGTTTGGAGGGAAAGGTTTCAGTTTTGCTGAAGTAAGTTGACCAATTCAATTTGAATTAGCTCAACACTAAAGGCTGTTGGCAAGGCAAAAATCTGTTTACATGTTTGTTTAATACAACTATTCCCTATTTGTGGACCTTAATTATGTTGTTACAAACCATTTGAAAACAAACGGTGCGAAGAGCAGTGTTGCC